TTACTTCATTTAGTTGTTTAATTGGCAGCCATTTCCCACAAACCATTTCCCTGCCTTTCAACAACTGAATTTATAAGTGAACAAATCTAATTTATCTGCGTAAATACGGACAATCCAAACGGTCTGTGTTGTGGAAAAGTGGCCGGAGTGCTGAGTCACTAACCTAAACCAAACTGCTGTAACCTTTTAAAAGGTTTGAAAACACATTAGTGAGTTTAATGACGCTGGTCGTAATGTTTGAACCAGCAGGACAGAAGGGCTAAAGTACAGCATGAGCACTCAGGAAGAAAAGAGGCGGCCTGAGAGAGAAGTATCAGATTTTTCTGTGGGGAGAAGAAGTTCAGACGCTGATCAAACACTGCCGTGAACTTTTACCTGAACAGACTGATTTACAACATATCAGTTCTATCATAAGAAAACTCTTTTATTCATTGTTTTCAAGTAACTGTTTCTGCTACTGCTGTCAGATCCTACACTCAAACAGAAAAGATACTTAACACTAGGGCTTTAACTCAACTAAGTTATATTATTATCAATTAATCAATCAATTATTATTTGATTATTCAAATAATTGCTCTATCCTGCCCTCTTCAGTTTCTCTTTTAATTTTCTCTGTGCAACAATTTCTACTGTTTTAAACATTGTTTTTCTGTTTAATCCAAGCTGTACCCTCAAGAACAGCAATTATATCACATGATTGTAGAAGACAAACTAAGCACATTAATTCAGCAGTAGAAGTGCAAGACAAGGAGATTCCAAAATTAAACAAAATTAATAATTACATACAAAAAAAGAAAAGCAGATGTTGTGGCGATATATACAGTTCATAATAGGTCATATTTCCCGAAACTGAAAGAAGCTTGCAGCTATTTTAACTTTTCAATAATATTAAAGACCAAGTTCCTTTTTAAAAAAACAAAAACAGTGCAAGTTTTTTTAATATTCTACATTTGTATGGAAAATATTTTGCTAAAATGATGATATTATTATCCAAAACGCATCTCAACATTCAGTTTCACTAATACAAAATTTGATCAAATAAAAATCCAAAGTTTCTAAGTCAACATTCTTTGAAGAGGACCAGTTTTGGAGATCTTTCCTGAAGACTGAATACAGCTAAAGAGACTGAATACAGCTAAAGAAAATATGTTCTGTTATTTCAATATTAAAATCACAAAATTTGCAATATTTTTTATCAATACTAAATTTTAATCCTAATAATTCATCACAGGAATAGTCATTTAACATTTAAAACTGAAGCTCTTTAGCCTTAGAATTAAAAATGGCATATATCTACAGGTATAAAGAACAACAGAACATTTTTAAATGAAACAGTAGGAGTCATATCGCCCCCTACACTTCCTGTAGTGTATTACAGTCTGTCGGAATGGCTGTGTGGATCTTAGACTGTAAGACTGTACTTTTCTATGGAGAAACAAGCTGTGCAGTACTGAACTCGTATTACAAGGACTGTCTGAATACTTTTGGACAGCTGGCATTTGTTTTTTAAAGTAAAGGTGTTTTTTTCCATAGTCAATGCTGTCAAGCAAACGCTGACATCTGCACTTATGGATCAATGGCCACTTGTAAAAAAAACATCTCAAATATCTCTGTGAAGTAATTTCTAAAGGGCTAAATTTACAGCTGCACAATGACGATACTTGAACTTGAGGACTAAAACTCAATTTGCTGTCCACTTTGCACAAAGAGAGTTTACACAGCTCACTGAAGGATGAGCAAATATTAATTTACAGCCAAAATTCACTTAAGAACAAGCATCCAGAGATTACTTTGCTGCTTCAACAACAGACAGAAAGACAGACAGATGCATAAAAGCTCAGTGAGAGTCAGAACTAAAGCATCCATCAACACTCCAGCCAGAGTCAGCCATTTATGGGAGAAACTTATGACATGCAAGAGCTAAAGAGTCTGTCTCTCTCTCTCTCTCTCTCTCTCTCTCTATCACAACTGTATTATATACACACATACTGATAAAAACATTCAGTGCAATCTAATCTTATCCAGAGCATTTTCATTTCTAATATTCACCATGATACCAGTTAGCATTATAATTTCAAGCAACCTCTCACGTGATGTTCTGTAAAGGTCAGGTTATGAATTGGTGGGGATCCAGTTCAGAGCGAGTGTGTGCACAGTTCTCCACAAGAGAATTAAACACACGCTATCTCTGATCTAAACACGCTGAGAGACTCTCCAAACTCTATTATTCAAATCCAGCTCGCTGCACTTAGACAGCACAAGTTTTTCTGCAAGTCACAACTCTGTACAAAATGTTGCTGTCACTTCTAGAACTCTGCCTTAATGATAACATTGTAATGTACTTCATGTTACAAGCCGTAGTTTGACAAAACATCTCATTCCCAGTTTTCCCACCTTATGACAAATGTAGGCCATCAGCCAAAACATGTTTGGTGTCTGACATTTGCTTCTTTAGCTTTAGCACTGGAGCTATGAGGCTATTGTAGTTAACAAGCAATGGAAGAATATGCTAACACCAATTAGCATGGTGTTAACTGCATACCTTAATCATCACTCACTTGCCTCAAACCAAGCGAATTGTTAAAGGGTGTAAAAGAAAAATCCCACCAATTTTTAGAATTCCCGCATAACTGAGTGTGTGAGATGTAAACCGAGTGATTCAGAGTGGTTTGGTGTGAAATGATTCAGATTTCTCTACAGTGGTGGTGATAGGAACCAGGGGTCGCCATGACTACAGCACTAATATATACATTTTATTATTTCCTATCCAAAACCACCAGTGAACCTACACGTGTCTGAGTTTTATATGGAATGTTGATGATGGAAAAATAGTGGAAAATCTAAGTAAGTTATCTTTGGGGACTATTTTGCCTCACAACGCCCTGCATGAATCCCTCCACCATGAATGGATTTTAAGTTCTCAGAACTATCATAAAACAGTGTCTCAGACATCTGGCAGTGAATTCATAACCATTTCATGTAATAACTTTCTGTGAGGGAGCTTTTAGAGGTGGACGTCTTGTTCCAGTCACAAACACTGTGAACAAGTTTATCTAGAACGGAGTGTTTCACACCAAACTACTCTAAATAAGCTTTTAAATTGTGCCAAAAAATTTAAATGCATCCGTCCACCTTTATTCTCTAATAGTCTTGATTATGTGGTTTAACATAATTAACAAAACACAGTTTTGTTCAGTTGTACTGTACATCCTCTACCCCAGATTTGTTTCTCATGTATGTGATGATAAGGGGAAGGTGTGTGTGCTGGGAGTTGTGTGTGTTGTAGTGATGCTGTGGTTTTATTGGCTGCAGTGTAGCGTGCAAAGCAGCTCTGACAGCCCCCCGGACCCTCAGGCTCAGCTTTAATCTCACTCACAGATGTGACCACACTGTGGAGTCAGTAATGACCACCCAAACCACCCAACACACACACAAACACACACTGCGGAGTAGCTCCCTCTCAATCACACAGCCCACCCTCACACTCCACACACACACACACACATACATTGGGGAGCAATTTTCTCTATCACATAGTTTACCGTCACCCTACACACACACAGACACACACTCACACACACACTGCAGAATAGCTGCCTCTCAATCACACAGCCCACCCTCACCTTCCACACACACACACACACACACACACACACACATTGGGGAGCAATTTTCTCTATCACATAGTTTACCATCACCCTGCACTCACACACACACACACACACACACACACACTCACACACACACTGCAGAATAGCTGCCTCTCAGTCACACAGCCCACCCTCACCTTCCACACACACACACACACACACAGAGACACATTGGGGAGCAATTTTCTCTATCACATAGTTTACCTTCACCCTGCACTCTCATGCACACACATACACAACACAGACACAGACATTTGTTTCTGTGATTGTGGAGACATTACATAGACTTTCATTCATTCCTGGAGACAAACCTTAAACCTAAATACTACTAGCCAAATGCTAAAACAGGTCTTCACCTTAAAATTGAATGATTAACGTTGTGGGGACCAGCTTGTGTTTGGAAGAAAGGTCCCCACAATGTGAGTGTAAAAACAGCTTTGGTCCCCACAACTTACCATAAACCTGGTAAACACAAACACACACAAGGCTGTGACAATCCATATACTGTTTGATATGTTTTTTGATTCTGAGGTTTAAGTTTGGTTTTTATGTGTATGAAAATATCTTGATTCTATAATAAGTGCACAATCAGAATCAGCCCAGATCAGAATCACACAATTTCAGCTCTGAACAATCTGTAATCTGATAATTTATTACTTTATCTCGGCACATCTGTGTTGTATAATGTAAATAATGTGAGGCAGATGAATGCACTCATTCGTGTTATTTAAACAGATTTTTCATTGGCATTATTAAAATGCCAGTTTGGCCTATTAAAGAGCAAACAGTCTTATTTATAATGCAACTGGCTAATAGAAAATGCTTGAGTTATGGGTGTGAGGAATGAAAGTGTGGAACTGCCCACAGTTCCTTGGCATTCATCTCCAACAACCTAAATTTGGTATGATCAAGGAAAACACCATAGAACTGATTACATGTAATTTTCATATTTTATTTACAATCAAATTAGAATTGTTTTCTCCAGCTTTTCAGTGCCTTAAAGTAGTAGCAATATACTCATACAACAGGGGCGTCCAAATTTTTCAAAGAGTGCTATTGTCAAAATACCTGAGGGCCGAAATATGATTCACAAATCATATTCATTTCAAAATGACCCTGTTTCCTATCACTGTATAAAAGATGCACAACGTTTCATTTATTGTAATTAATAAAATCTGTTCATGGGCCGCATTTGGCCCTGGGGCTGGACTTTGGAAACCCCGTCATACAAAAATATGAGTTTATGTATTTGTATATATATTGTATGAATAGTATACATGTTATACACACACTCTCCCTCTCTCCACCTGTGTTAAACCCTCTGCTGTATGTGTGTGTGTGTGTGTGCAGGTATTCTGGAGATTCGGACAGTGTCAGAGGGAGGCATTCTGGCCATTAAAGGGGTGAAGAGTCAGTATTATATTTGTATGAACCGTAGTGGAGTTCTACAGGGAAAGGTAATCTGATCACACACACACACACACACACACACACACACACAATTCACATTCATCTCTTATTACATATTATTTATGGTTTCAGAGATAGTTAATAAGCTTTCTCTTTACCCCTCTGTGGTCATTCTATCGATTTGTGCATATCTTCTTAAACTCTCCCTAAAAACTCTTCATATAACATGATACTCATATGTTTCATACCACAATGCTCCGTTATCTTCGTCACTACTTTCCAAAACCACTGCAGCAACTTCAGCAGCTGTAAACTCTCTGCACACCATTTCACATGTGTCTCCGATGTGGACTGAAAGACTAACTACTGAATTACTGAATAAGTCACTGCTATTGTGTAGCTACTATGAATTATTTAGTGTCTACTATGACATCAAGCGATTACGAGCCTTACAAGTTAGCTGAATCATCTGAACAATTAACTAATTAAGCTGATGTAGAAGCAGAGACTTAAGCAGAGTTTTAATCTCTCTTCTCATCTGCAGAAAGACTACAGCGACAGCTGCAACTTTAAGGAGGTGTTTTTAGAAAACTTCTACACGGCCTACTTGTCTGATAAATGGACTAAAACCGGGAAGGAGATGTTTATCTCTCTGTCGCAGAAGGGCCGGCCACTGAAGGGCAAAAAAACACGCAAAGAGATCATCGCTTCGCACTTCATCCCACGCAAGTGCAAAGAGGACGACAAGACGTCAGCCTGACACACAGACACACCTCAAACTTACTCCACAATCCGTCCAAAAACTTTAAACACAGTTTCAACAGGGGCCGCTGCTCCTCCTTTGCAGCACCGACTCTGCTCACCTGGATTGAGTGCAGTATGTTCTGAATGTGCTGCACTATTGCTTGATTTTTGTGTTTTTTGCGATGTTTTGCTCCTTTTGTGGACTTTTACTGATGCTCTTACCTGCAGGGAGCTGGACTGAAATGCGAAAGCACTTCCATCACTAACAATTACTCTACTAAAGATCTCTACTGGTCAACAGCAATGACTCTGAGAAAAAGACTATGGATGTAAAAAGCCGAATGGGAGTTTGAGGACTCGTAACAAGAGGGTGAAATGTTTGCGTAAGCAAGATTCTACTGTATCTCATTAAACAGAGGACAAACTTACGTCAGGGCATCAAGGGAACACAATCGTGACTTTACTATCAGCAGTAAAGCAGCCATTAGGACAGCAGCAACGTCAGTGCCTGAGATCTTCCAAAGCAGGAGATGGTTTTATGTCATTCTTAAGCAGAGCTTTAGCCACAAATGTTATTATAAGGTCAGCAGAATAAACAAAGGAATCACAGTAACCCACAGCGCATTAAAACTCCATTCCGAATCATAAAAGCAAAGACTGCTTTGAACTGTAACCAGTGTCTCATTTCATGATGCAAACCATAATTTCACAATTTCATAATTGGAAAACCACTAATATGGCCCACAGTGTATTCTTGAGCACAGTCCTCTCATTTAAAGGGCCCATATCATGAAAAACGACTTTGTCTGGCTCTGTTGACATAGTTTGGAAACACTTTTAACATTTTAAAATGTCCTGTTATACTTATATATATATATATATATATATATATATGTCCATATATGGACACTAAGGTGCAAAAACAGCTCGTTTTGCATTCATCGTGGTTGTGACATCAAAGAATTCAAAACAATGGTCAAAACAATGTTAGCAGTTTAGCCCCACCCACCCAGTTTAGCTCCTCCCATTCAGCATACAGCACTATAGACCCGCCCTTTCAGCCTACAGCAGTTTAGCTCCACCCATTCACACAACAGCAGTTTAGCCCCATCCATTTAGGCTACAGCAGTTTAGCCCCACCCATTCAGCCTACAGAAGTTTAGCCCCACCCATTCAGGCTACAGCAGTTTAGCTCCTCCCATTCAGTCTACAGCAGTTTAGGCCCAACCATTCAGGCTACAGCAGTTTAGCTCCTTTCATTCAGCCTACAGCAGTTTAGCTCTGCCCATTCTGCCTACAGCAGTTTAGCTCCTCTCATTCAGCTTACAGCAGTTTAGCCCCACCCATTCTGCCTACAGCAGTTTAGCTCTGCCCATTCTGCCTACAGCAGTTTAGCTCCTCTCATTCAGCTTACAGCAGTTTAGCCCCACCCATTCAGCCTACAACAGTTTAGCTCTGCCCATTCAGGCTACAACAGTTTAGCTCTGCCCATTCAGCCTACAGCAGTTTAGCCCCACCCATTCAGCCTACAGCTGTTTAGCCCCACCCATTCAGCCTACAGCAGTTTAGCTCCTCCCATGCAGCCTATAGCAGTTTAGCTCCACCCAGGACAGCAAACCAGAACAGAGCTCATTTACATATATCAGTCTTAAAGACACAGTATCAAAAGCAGCCTGTTTAATTCTAAGGGATAAAGAGAGGCTGGAAATTGTTCATGTAAAAATGAAATACAACTGTTTTGGAACAGAAAAGAAGAGAAACAGCACACTTAGACTTCTGGGAAAAAAACACAAAAAAGTGTGGAACACAAGTGCTTTAATTGTGACGCCCCACACACTAAAGCAGACAGGCAGGATGGACACTTTAAAATAATGCATGCTTTCTCAAATTTCTTTATGATTTGATTCTTTATGATTTATGATATGATTTCCTGAATACATGGGTTCATTAGTGTTTCCTACAGCTAACCTTGTGTTTCTGTTAGCATGACACATTCCATTCACCCACTTACTGGCATTTCACTACAAAACAAATCAGTAATGTGCACCAGGCCACGGTCATAACAACATTTTCATGATCCCATTTCACTACATTTCCATTTCACTGTGTGCCTTAAAGCTCTCCTGTCTGTAAACAGCTGTTCCTCTTTATTATTAAATGTTATTTATGATCTGTGTGTAAAATCCGGACAGGTGGGTGTAGTATTGCAGGTTAAAGGTGATAGTTTGGTGAAAAAGAAATGACAGCACACACAAAATACTGTTTTTAGCTATGCTTCTTACTTGAGCCATGACATGCAAGTCCACTATTTTCCCAAAAAAAAGGGTTCTGCTATTGCCTCAGTGCACTTTCTGGTGCTATATAGAACCCTTTTTATAAAGGTTCTATATAGAACCATATACAACACGTTCCCCTTCGATCTGAAGAACGTTTTCACCATGCAGAGAACCTGGTTCTATATAGAACATATGGTTCTAAATAGAACCATTGCCCATTTACCATTTACTAAAGAACCCTTGAAGAACCATCTTTTTTACGAGTGTACTAAAGATAAAGAAGCATGTCTTGGCTGATTATTCGGACTAAGCGGGGAGATTGAACAAAGTTGATTTTTTCATCAAACTATCTCTTTAAGACCGCCGGCTCAGTGAGGCCAAGCACTCACCCACCATCTGATCAATCAGAAGCTTTAACCACTAGACTGCAAACACGGTGAGAGGAGATGCGAGAGGAGTGTGTTTCTTCTGCTGCTATCTGCGACGACATTAACAGAATATAAGAGATGAAGTGTTTATATTTTATGTATTAAAAGTCAAAAACACAAATAAATACACAAATATTTTACACCAAGTGTTTTGAGAATCACTCTGCATCACACCGTCTCTAATCCTAAATCACTGTGTGATGGTAATGCTGTAGTGTCTATTTTTATTATCTGTTTAATATGCATATATGCATGAAAGTTGATGTGTTATGGTCCCCGCTGTTCAAACTAGCGATGCAATCTCCATTATTCAAATTATACTGTAACCTATTCATATGCAGTGCCTCAGAACATGCCCTAAATAGTCTAATATGAACTTCTGCACAATTATAGCTAACAGTATCAAATTGATTTTTTGATTATATTTAATTTCCACACTGCATAAAATGGTATCATGAAAGTAAAATTATTTGGAATCTAGTCAATATATCTAATAATTCTCATTTTGACATTATTGGTAGCTTATTATAAGATTTTTTAACATATTTCGAGTTGCTTTAGTGATTATAGTAAGTAAAATACTGATCGTTGGTACTAAAACTAAAAGAGAAATCAGCTTTATGAGAATCTCGGCTTTTTATCTTCATATCCCAAACCTGCAGTAGAAACCTGGGTGTGATCTTAGACTCTGAGTTCTGTTTAATCTGCATGTAAACACAGTCACTAAAGCAGCTTTTTTATCATGTGAGAAACATCACTAAAGTACAGTCTTTTCTCTTTCAGAGTAACACAGAGAAACGTGCTGCTGCATTTGTTCAGCAGAGTTGATCACTGTAATGATCTTCTTACTGGAGAAAACAGTGCATCCTGCACAACTCATACAGAACGCAGCAGCGTGGATCATCACAACACCAACAGAGAGAGCTGTTTTTTAAAGCTCTAAATGACCTTAAATCTCCTGAATGTCTGTTTATGATCTTAGATCTGCAGATACTGGCCTTCTGCAAACATCTTCTGTAACATACAGAAAATGTGGAGAGATTCTTTCTGTTATTCTGCTTCTAAACTGTGGAGCTCAGTTCACCTTTTATTAGACAGTCAAGCTGAGAGCTCACTTGTAATAAACATCTGAAAACACAGCTCTTTAACTCAGCGCTTCATTAAACTCTATGGCTCTTTGGTGTTTATCTCTTTAACCTGATCATATGATTTTAATTCAATACTCACAGTTTCTTCTTGTAAAGCACTTTAAGTTGTCACCAGCATGAAAAGTGCTATATAAATAAATGTATTATTATATTTATTATTATTGTTATTTTTATTATTAAAATGATCTCACTATATTGGCAGATAAATGTTCCAAGCAAACATGTAACATAATCTGCCACTATAATGAGATCATTTTACTTACTATAATCACTTAAAACAAGTAAAAATGTCTAGAAATAAGTTAAACAACCTCATAATAAGCTTACAATAATGTCAAAATGTGAAATATTACATATATTGACTAGATTTCAAATAATTTCATTTGCCAAGTTACCATTTCTTTTAAGTGCACATTCTTTTTACAGTCAAATTTGAAGTTACTAATAGTTCCATGCACGCAAAAATAATAAACATCATAAGATAAACTTTGAAAAGTTACTTATTTGTCAAACTGTTTGATCGGTTTGGAGGAAGGAAAGTTCAGATCGTGCTCAAAGAACATCTAACAATTCAGATATGCACATTGAAACATTCTTAAAAAACATGGTTCTTCAAGGTTTCTTTAGTAAAGACAGAGGTTCTAGATAGAACCATGAACATTTCGAGAATGCTTTGCATGATTAAATGGTTCTCTGCATGGTGAAATGGTTCTTCAGATTAATGGATAACGTGCTGTATATGGTTCTATATAACACCAAAAAGAGTTCTGCTATTGTGACAATGTCAAGCTTGTATTGTGTATGGTTCTATATAGCAAGCTTGGCACTATATAGAACCATATAGAACAAATTCTCCATCAATCTGAAGAACTATTTCACCAAGAACAATTTCACCATATTATATATATATTATATCATATTATATATGTGTTGCACCATTCCGGTTGTGTACAGTAATATAAGTTATGAAATAAAAGCTATGATATGTACAGATGTACACATTTCCATATATGCAATATGTGAGTCTGAGGTCGATAAATGAGATGCAGTGTACACGGGGGATATTGGTATGTATATTTCAGGTTATACAACATATGGATAGAAGATGTACAAGATGTCAATCTATATGTGCAGGTATACATTTGTTAGATTGAAGTTACAGTAAGATCAGAGTGAGTCTGTCTGAAGTGTGGATGCGGTGTGGACTGTCCATGGAGATCATCGTGATCTCTGTGGTTCTTTGAGTGTTCATGGTTCTACATAGACACCATTATCTTTACTAAAGAGCCTTTGAAGACCCATCTTTTTTAAGATAGTAGCTAAGTATTAGAACATGTAACAGAACCCAGGTGAATTCTTATTACAATTAAGTTCCATACATTTTTACAACCAAATTTGAAGTCTCTATCATAATTAGTCCCAGGTGACCAAAAAAGTAAATTTCACATAATAAACTTTAAAAAGTCACTCATTATAAACTATAATTTGTGCTCAGAGAACATACAGACAAAAGGAAATCTAACGTTTAAGATATGGACATTATTAGGTTAAAAGAAACTACAGCTCTACATGACACATTCTTTATTATTTAAGTTAAGATTATCCTCTTTTAGCCCCTTTGACTGTGAAACTGTAATGGACCCACCGCCCTTCTCTCGAGACCTCAGCCAGGAGAACCCCAGGATTTAATCTGACATCATCCTATTAAAACAGATAAGATCAGCCGTGTTACTGCACAATCACACACGTGTAGCCAGAGGCTCAGACACAAACTACAATAATCTCATTTCCTTTACTGATAACTGGAACTGTATGGGATGCCTTGCGCTGGGTTTCATTTAGCTCCTAACATGCAGGCAGGGTAACTCTAGCCCTGAGGAGATTTTAATCATCTGCACTAATCCTGCACACAATTTTTATCTATTAATTCAGTCCTAGGCCTGACTCTGTTTGTAATGTGATGTAGGAACAAAGCAGGGTGTGCGTGACAATATACACTGCAAAATCTACTGTATAAATAACATTAAGTAAAAATAAAATTAAATACAAAAATTAAGCTAAATTAAATTTAAATGTGCATTTTGTGTCCATGCATATAAATTATTGTGCAAAAGTCAGAGGCCAACCTTCATTTATTTAATTTACAGTGAAACTTGCCATT